TCAATATTTAATAATTTTTAATTAACTTAAATTTAAAATTTTTAACGAGAGTGAATTACGCATGTAAAAATTAGAGTGAAGCATATTAATTTATACTTAATTTAAGACCTCATTTGAATCACCTATTATTGTTTTTGGTGAGATGCGATTAACATCTCAAATTAAGTGGGTGTTTAGATGCTATTAGAGGTGTAGTTAAACTTTAAACATTATTAATTAAATTTAAATATCAATTTTAATAAAATCTATTTAATATAAATTTATTATTAAATTTTTTAATTATAATTATAATAATTTATTTAATCATAATTATAATAATAATTATTATTATTTTTAATCTTATCAAAATAATTTCTACCCATCCTCCTAAATTAATCATCCTTGCGGATGACATTGGCGGCACGTTACAAATGAATTTTTACTGCACACCGCCTCTTATCTTTTCAAAAAAGGTCTCTCTTTCTTTTGTTCTTGCTTTTGAGATTGGGGATGAAAATGTACTTAACTTTTCTTCTCCAGCATATAATTATAATTATAACTATAATTATGATTATTTATTAATTTAATACAATAAATAAATTTTATAATTATTATATAATTAAAAATGGAATAAATACATAATAAATAAATAAATTCTATAATCAAATAAAATAATATCTTTGTAATTAGTATGAGTTAACTATAATAAATATTTACATAAATGATCAAGTCTAAATATTAATTCATTTTTATAAGATAATTATATTATTATCTTTTGAAATAATTATTAATTTTTTATAAAAATTATCATATAAATAAACACAAAAAATAAAAAATAATTAAATATTACATTGTGAAAGATTCAATTTATGTAAATATCTTAGCATCAATTTTTAAAATAATAATTTATATATTACCACCATTTTTATTCATTTTTTATTTATTAAAATTTTTTTATTTGACATAAAAATAATTTCAATAATTTTTAATTATTTATTAACTTCATCAATCACAAATATTTTAAAATTTAATTACATACAAACTTTAATCTAATATTTTTAATGATCATTTTTCTTCTTACTACATTCCATTTTATTTACTATTACGTTTTATATCTAAATACATATCGCACAATTAATTTCAATTTTATCATTACAGTATTTAGTCTCATTACTATAATAACTAATATCACTATCACTATTTTCAATCTCTTCAAAAATAATTTTATTGCCTATCTAAATGGACCCTAAGGTAGAAAAAAAAATGTAGATTAAAGCATGCTTAAAGGTATAAAAAGCCCCCAAACTATAACTAAAAAAATCATCCAAGTCCTTTTTTTTTTTTTAATACAATCAATTAACCCTCTAACATTTATTTGCATCTAATTAAGCTTTTATTTGGATTAAAAAGTTATCATTAATAATTTTTTATCAATTAAAATAAAATTTTTATGACATCAATAAAATAAATGAAATTTGTAATGTGATATAATTAATATATGTAAAAATAAAATAAAATATTTTCTTTTTTAAAAATTTTTATGTCTCTATCTCTTTAGGATCCCTCTAAAAATTAAATTAACTATAGTTGAGGGATTACTTGATTAAATTTTATCATGTGATTAGATTTCATCAATTTAAAGATTCAATTAAGTTGAAATAAAAAATATTAAAAATTTGATTGATTATAATAAAATATTAAAATTTTAAATAATTATTGGATTATAATTTAAGGGTATACTTTTTTTCCTTTAACCTTTAAGGCATTAAACTAAATAAAGAAAAATAAAATGCGGTTTATTGTTCTCCTGTCTCCCTGTAGTTTTAATTATATTAATTGGTTACTAGAATGTGAATAATTTTTTTCAAAATAAATTGGTTTATAATTTCATATTTTCTTTTTAAAATAATTATTTTTAAATCACTAATTAATAAATTATGAAAAAATAAAGATATTTTGTGTTCGTACCATTTTACTTAAATTTAATGGATAGAAGAATATAGAAAAGTTATATGAAATAAATTGAATTTGAAAATATTGAAATTAATATAACGATATAGTTTTTTTTTTCCAACCAACTGAAATAAATTAAGGGATAGAAAAATACGAAAATTTTTCAAAATTGATTGGAACATTTTTTTTTTTAATTTTCTTGTTTTCAAATAATTCATTAACAAAATATGAAATATTAATTTAGTATGCTAACTTGTAATATTTTATCTTTTTATTTATATTATTTATTAAAAAATAATTAATTCTTATAAATATTGAAATTAATATAATAGCTTTTCATATTTATTTCTTTATTTAAACTAATTTTAAAAATATAAACATTTAATATATGCATTTATTGCATAGATATCTATGGTTGCATATACATAATATATATCTTTTGATCAAAAAGGTAAAAAAAAATTGTAACTCTTACATTAATATAAGCAGATCTCTTTTTCTTTTTTTTTTCTCTCTCTCTCTTTCTATCTATATATATATATATATATATATATATGCTAACTTTTTATATTTTACTTTTTTATTAATACATATTTTTTTATTTTTAAATATTTATTTTCAAATAATTAATTAATAGAATATGAAATAAATTAGTATTCCAACTTTTCATATTTTACCTTTTTAGTAATACCAAAAAATGTAATCAATTTTCATGTTCAAATCTTATAAAAAATAAAATGTATTCAATTGAATTTCTAATTTAACTCTTAATAAATCAAAACATTACACGTTAACCGCAAATTTTATTTTAAATCGAACACCCCCAAAGATTATAGTAACGGAGTAGCTAAAACGTCTAAATTTGGGAGTTGGGCAGGGTGAGCCCATTTAATTGTTTCGGCTTTTCTATTGCTTGTGTTGGACTGGGCTTTTGCTCTTCCATTTGTGCCTCTAAAAATTTGAAGCAGGTCCTCGTTCCTTTAGAACCTGGGTTCTGCTGATGAAATCGGAGGCCGACCCATACTTGGTGGTAAGATGTTACTGGGAAAAATTTGTGCTGTATAAGATGAATGTACGCACGTGTTATAAGAATCAGGATCCAACTTTATTTTTTAATACATCCTTAAACATATTTCACACATGTCAAGTAATTAAGTTCATAATTTATTGATAAGAATTTTTTTTTTCACCGTTTTGATATCCTTCTTTGCATACTGATAATGAATATGTTACGTGATTTCAATAATTTATTTTAAATTATCAGATACGATATATTTATTTTAATTTAAAAAAATAAACAATCTATTCATCTTTAAATTTTTTTTTTACAAAAAAAATAAATATATTATGTGACACAAAATTTCACAAATAAAAATAATGGATCTACATGACATAAAGACTACATTTTTAAAATGGTGGTAAAAGAAATTGCATATTAATTAAATTGATCAGACTTGAAATAGTCTGATCATATAAATATAATATAATTATTTAATTTACTTTCAATTAATTTTAAATTGAATTTCCATTTTCCATTTTAGGTTTAAGCTTTTTTTGACTTGAAATAAGTGGTCGAAAATTTCTTGGAAGATTATAGAGTCCAATAAGAAAATTTCTCATAAAGCTTGACTTGTGGTACCCATAACACAACAAAGTGAGTCTAATATATTTATGTTTGAACCCGACTTTTATGTTTTTGGATAGTGAGCTGATTTTATGCAATTTTTTTTTAATTTTTATAATTTACGATTATCTTAATTTTTTAATTTCTTTATTAGAATGAGAGCTTAATTTTTAAATTTCTTTATTAGCATAAGAGCTTCGGCTATAAATACTCTCTTTTACATAGATCTTTAGCTAAATAAGTTCAATATCAATAAAATTTGATTTTTTTAACAATTCGATTGTAAACTTATTTTCCCATTGTTAAAATACTTAGAGTGGCATGTATATTTTAGAATATATTAAAAAAATAAAAATTAATGAAAAAAATATTTAATAATTTTTTAATCTTACTTCTAAAATTAAAAAAATTCACTAAAAATGAATGATTCTTTTATTATTGTACCATAAATTATAATTTATTGATAGTGGATAAAAGTGTACACTTTATTCGTCAAATATAAACTCTGCAATGGATTCATTTCATCATGGATGAGTGAATAGCAGCTGCAACCCCTTAACATGCTAAATCCAAACCCCAGCAGCACATCACCTGCAACAAACAAGATATTGGTTATCATTTGACCAACAATCGTAATGAAGAAGAAACTGAAACTAAAGTAGTGCTATATTACCTGACTATGTATGGAGTATTTCTGTTTTCTAAGTTGACAAAGCACAAATTTTAGTTTCTTCCTTGTAGCCTGCAGCCCTGCATGAACCTTGTTCCATGATTTCTCCCTTTCCTTCTAGAAATCATAATCCATTGCCTCCAATCTTGCTCAGTGTTGTATATGCAATAGAAAACCCAATTATCAGTCCAAACCCATATCCAATCAACACAGTTTTCCAATGAAATAAGCTGCTTCTCCAGGAATCATCATCTTCATGGTGCAAAGGTGGTGGCAAATCATTGTTATTATTTTTGCATGTTCTAATCAATGGTGACCCACATAATCCACGGTTTCCCTCATAATAGTCATTTGAAAATGTATTAAATTGGTTACCTAGTGGTATGCTTCCTTCAAGTTGGTTGTAAGAGAGATACATTGCTTCAAGAAAATTCCAGCTCGTCAGTTGAGGAGGAATTTCCTGAGAGTTTGTTGCGTGAGAGGTCTAATGACTCCAGTTCAGTCAAGCTTCCAAGTGATGGGATTCGGCCCGTGAATCCTTTTCGAGACAAGTTTAGCACTATTAGTGCTTTGAGATTTCTGATCCCTTCAGGAATTTTCCCATAGAAGCTGTTGTTGGAGAGATCAACACAAGTTAAGATAGGATTTTTGCTACTTAATTTCATTCCCTTTGTTATAAATTACCAACCAATCCTGATAGTACCCATCTCCAATATATTTTGGCTGCCGTCACTTGCATTAGTCACCATCGTTGCCCTAAGAGATAGAAAGAATTCAATACAGTTCCTCCCAAAACTTGTTCGAAGCTAGGTCCATTGTTTGCAACACTGGGAAGATTTTTGCATCTGAAGTATGATCAACTGTTGGACCGTAGAATTTATTTTTTCTCAATACAAGAACTCTCAATGTGGGCAATTTCTTCAACCAAGAAGGGAACCTATCACATATCATATTGTTGCCAAGGTCCAAAAGCTCTAGCCTGGAACAATTTGCTAATGATCTTGGCAGCTTCCCTTCTAAACTATTGCTATTGAGTTTGAGTGACAGGAGCTTGGTCCCTCGGTCAAAATTCAGTGACATGCTGTGGAAGTCATTTCCTTCTAGATTCAAACCGTAGAGATTAATGATACTGCCTAAACAGTCTGGTATTGGGCCAATAAAGTTGTTATTGGATTCATCAAGCAGAATGAGATGCCTCAAATTGCATATAGCGTTAGGTAAAAAACCTTGTACAAGTTGGCTTGGAGATCAAGAATACGCAAGGAAAGAGACTGGTTCAGATAAAATGTTTCCCAAGAATGGAGTTATGAGAAAGATTCAGGTGGAGTAATTCCTTCCCCCAAATCCAGTTAGGTATTGGTACCTGATTTTGTTGTCTGAAAGGTCAAGATACCACAGGTTTTCTTGGTTTCTTATTAGGAACTCTGGAAATCTAGTTATTTTACAGGAACGCATGTGCAATTCATATAACCTCGGGAAAGGGTTTTTATCACCATTGAAGACTGACATGCTGCTATTTTCGACCCCAAACAAAGGTTTGTCCGGGAAATCAACATTGTTATAGGAAAGATCTAACATTGATAGAGTTTTCCATATCCAACTAGGTATGGTACCAACGGTTTTGTTGTTGGAAAGGTACGGAAATTTCAAGAACTGTTTGTGTTTTTAAGGAAACTTGGGAATTCATTAATGTTGCAGTAACTCAAACTCAGTTCCTCTAATCGGGGAATGGTAGAGCTTGTGTTGTCATTTTGAACAGATAAGTTGTTTCAGAAAGATCAAGAGAGATTAGGCTCTTGAGATTCAAGAATATGCCTAGCTACAACGAACCAGTGAAGTTGTTATAAGCCAGTGAAATAACGTTGTGCTCTGGAAGTTCAATGATTGATCTTGGAATTGGGCCTTTTTGATTGTTTCCTTCATTAATTAAATACGTGTAATGGCGAAGAAGATGCATTATATATATCCTTTCAAGTTCTCCAACATATGAAGATTTCTTAAGAGATCTCATGACTGCGGCGGTATACAAATTAAGAGGAAAAAACATTCCATAGGTGGAAGACAAGGTAAAGTGTTGTAATATTTGTAACTGCCTCAAAAGGAGGCATGGAACCCGCTGAAAATTATTTTCGGAAAGATCAAACATCCCTGAAGGTAAGGTTATTGCAAGTTGATGATGGGATTTGAACCAGAAAATTTTGCAAGAACATATCGTCAAAGCCCCTAAGGTTACCGTTCTTACCGAATGAGGCCGGCAAACTTCCATAAAAGTTTGTCAAAAGAAGCTTTAATGTACTGTTAGAGAAATTGTCGGTAAACATGCCTGTAAGGGTGGGTTTTCTGAAATGTCCTGGCTTTTCAGTCTTGGCAATTGGAAAATGTGATCCGGCTAATTCCCACTCAAGTTGCAATGTGCTAGGCTGAGAGAAGACAAATGAGGAGAATTAGCAAACAACATGGATGGTAGCGAATGAAGTTTGTTCCTGTCGAGGTTCAGGTGGGATGGGAAACGAAGCTCTGAGAAGGAGGAAAAAACAGGACTTGAGAGAACACAGTTTGACCAGCTTAATCTCCGGAGATTAGGAAGTGCACCTGACAGGGCTTCACACAAACTAGTGCTCTGTTCAGAGACGTCAGCATCATCAAGATAGAGTTGTAAAAGACAACTCCAGTTCAGGACAAATGTTTCAAAATTTGGTCTTTTGAGCGCAAGTGCTGGATGATTTTTACTAGAACACGAATCAGGAAAATCGCGTGGACAAGAGAGATCAAGTGACTGTAACCTTGTCAAACGTGGTATTGCTGATGTCACCTAACAGGAGAAGCAAGAACGTGAAAGGTTGAGATGGGTAAAAAAAGCTAGCCTATCAAAATCATTTGGGATTGGCATCATCTCCAGTTATTGCCAGCAAGATTAAGGGGCTGTAAATGAAGGAGACGAAAGATGGAGTTGAGAGGACCTGAAAGGCCGCTATAGCCAAGGTCAAGCTTGACCACAGGACCAACAGGTTCATACTCGACACCCTTCAATGAGCAAGAATCTGTTTTCAGATCCCAAGACCCAATTTTTGAATTAGAGGCAGAGGGGGATTGGTCAAGAAAATCCTTACGAAGCTTCACCGAGGCTGATCTTTGATCATCCAGGCATAGGGTTTTAAAAGCAGACAGTAATGGTGTTAAAGAAGAATCAACAAGAGAGAAGAAGCACCAAAAGAGAGAGGAAATTTGGAACAAAAGCAAAAGGTTGCCGACATTTCTCATCCGTACTGATCTGAGCAAAGAAAAAGCAAATATAGATTGTTAAATTACTTGGTTAATGCTGGATATGTCTATGTAGACAAGCTGTGGAAATTCAAGCTTGGTTTTTGGTCAGTGACAATTATTCTTGTGATGGTTGTTTTTTAAGTACATTCTACATTCTTTGAAACCAAAATTACCAAGCTAAAGGAGGTGGAAATTCCAGTTTGGGCCGCAAGTTGCAACATCAAAAATCTTTTCCCACTAAGCGCTAGTTGGATTCAAACGTAGCTCCAGCGAGATCACTTTTTGCATAAAAAACAGTGTAAATCGCATCAAAGTGTTGTTGGGATTTGATCGCCGGGCTCAATGGGCTGCTTTTTTCAACCGAAGCTTTTAGAAGCAGTGAATAAATTTGCACCATTTTTTTTTTTTTATGTCCTTGCAATTATTAAAACGATAAAATATTATTATATAAAATTTTTAATTTAATATTTTCAATGATTATTTTTTTATTATAATTTATTTCATCATTTTCGTTGTATATATATTTAAATATAATTAATTTTAATTTTATTATTATAATAATTAATTTTACATTTATCATTATTTTTAAGCTTACTAAAATTAATCTCGCCATTTATTTGTTCTCATTTCGACTAGACGTTGATAAGACAAACGGAGAAACAATGATCGGCGTGTTGAAGATGACTGAATTGCAGGCCCATTTCTTCCTGCTTAGCCCACAAAAAGGAAATATTTTTGCAGCATAGTGCCTGCTTCGCAAGTTGGGAACTTCGTTCTCTTCAAAACATTATAGAATAATTTGCTCAAGAAATTCGTGGTATTACATAAAATTTGAAAATTGTCGTAACGGTTTTGTGACCGTCAGACATAAATAAATGAGTTTTAAAATAAAAAAAAATAAAAAAAATCATCATCAATCTTTGTTAGGGTGTGATTGACTATAAAAAAGTTTATCTTTTTAATAAAATTATAAAAACAGGTTTAAAGTTTATCAAAAAGATAAATTTCGGTCTATGAATAATCAGGTTGGGTTTGAGAGTCGGTTACGTGTAGAGAATGATTAGCACCCCCACAATGCCCATAAATTAGTACAATTTAATTATGCACTATTTTCAGTGTTGGAAAAAAATAGTTTTAATTTGAAATTTAACACTAATTCCCTTCATCTGAAAAAATAAAATTTTGCTAAAATTTTTATTTAGAAATATTGAAAAAATCTTTAAGTTAAAAAATTATCTTAAAATTCTCCAACATCTAGGCAGAATTTAAAATAACTCTTTTTACTTAAGATTTAACACAATAATCCTTAAAATGAAATAACAATCTTTATAGAAAATAATTATCAGTGACTCTCCAACATCTAGGCAGAGTACCAAAAATTATTTCTTTTAGAATGCTATTTTTATTTTATTTTATAATATCACAAATTTTTTTTTTAAAAGATTATTTTTTTTATTATAAAATATTTTATCATCAAATAATAAATTAAAGAGAGAATAATGCTGACAATTATTGATGATAACACGCTGACGTATGTATGCTAATGGATATCATACAAAATGAAATGCAATTTAAAAGTTAGATTCTTAAGTATAATGAGACCACCTCGACTCTCCAACATCTAAGCATAGCTTAGGTGCGACTGTTTATATTTAAGATCCAAATTTATTGTTATACTTTTTATTTAATACTCTTATTATTAATGCGAATTAAGAAATCGTATAAAAGACTTAACGAAGTAAAATTTCCTAAATACCCCATCATCTAGGCGGCATTCGAGAACAAATTATTTTAAATGAAATTTTCACACGTGTCTTTAGGATTTTTAGGAGGTTTTGAGTAAGGGCTTGAGTAGAGGTTTTGAAGGTCTAGTTTTAAGGTTTTGAGGGTTTTAAGGCTAGAATTTTAGGATATAGAAGGTTTAGGGTTTTGATTTTAGAGTTTGGAGATTTTAGGATTTGGGTTTTGTGGTTTGGGGTTTTGATTTAAGGGTTTGGATTTTAGGAATTTTGGATTTTCGGGGTTTGAATTTTGTGGGTTTCGAATTTTAGGGGTTTGGATTTAAGGGATTTTAGATTTTTAAAGGTTTGGATTTTAGGAGTTTTATAAACCTAGGATTTTGAAAATTAAAAATTAGTGTTTAAGGTTTCGTTTTTAAGAAAATACGAACATCTCTAAAAATCTCCAACATCTAGACGAATTTTTGAAGCAAATTCGATTTTAATGATTTTTTTAAAATTAATTTAAAATTTTTTTATATTTATTTTCTGAAAATTTATTAATAATAATTCCTTAACATCTATGCGAAATTATTTTTAAAAAAAATATTTTTATTCCCTCCAACATCTAAGCAGGGAAAATAATAAATATATATTTTTGAACATTTTTAATATATATTTTTAATTATTACAATGTTTTCAATTTTATTATTATTAAAACAATTAAACATTTATTCTAACAAATTTAGAAATTTATCATGCATAAATATGTAAAAATACCTAAAATAACAAAAATAATATATATAAAAAAAATTAAAAAATTAAAAAAAAATTTTTTTATCTGAACCAGACATGTCAACGATCCGATCAACGACGGTTTGGTTCGACGATTCGATTGAACCGGGTGAGGACGATTCAGGCCAATCTAGGGAGCAGTTTGATCTGGTCTGATCAAATCGGTTCAGAGCCGTTGAGAAGTCGGTTTAGCGGGTCCGTTGCGCGGACCTCAGGTCAGGTCCGGGTCAATGCGCTGATCTTCCTTGGCCTAATCGACGTCGTTATGCTTTTATGCTTTCTATATAAAAGTAACCCCTTTTCTTTTTCTCTTCATTTTTTTGTTTCTGAGAAAAAAAAAAGAGAGAGAGGGCTCTGGGCAGAGGTTCGACGCCCTCACCGTTCGGCGATCGGAGTACCGTGCCGATCGCCGCCTGGTCCATCGTCGTCGGTGGCCGAAAACTTCAAAAGTGACCAGAAAGTTCTTTTCGACGCGATCTTTCTAGATCTGATCCCCTCTTCGTCGAAAACGGCCCTGATCGACGTAGGTCGGGGTTCAAAGTTTTCTGTTCTTCTTCTTTTTTTTTTTTTATATATAAAAAAATACTCAAACTAATAACATTTTTTTTTGTTACAGATACCTCCTTGGTGTTGGGTTCCTCCCTACAGGGAGGACTGTTTGATTTTTTTTTGTGGGTTTTTTTTTTGTTTTTTTGACAGAATCTCCCATTCCTTCTTCTTTATTTTTTCTCTGGTTTTGGTTTGGCTAGGAGCTCTATTTATAGAGCTCCAGCCGTGCATATTTGGGGGGAAGGGCATGGGGCTCGGCATGGGGTGTGAGCACGAGCCCCATGCCTCTTTTTTTTTTTGTATTATCAGGTAGTAGGGTAGGATAAACAGGTTATGGGTGGTAGGGTATAACAATCAGAGGGGTAGTAGTGGTGCCGGGGATGGCACCACTGCCATCATTGATTTTATATTTTCTTTTGTTTGGATTTTTTGTTTGTATTCTTTTTTTTTTTTTTAAAAAATTATGATTAAACCAATATTATTATTATTATTATTATTTTTAAAAAATTATTATTATTAAGAAATGTAGATCCGGACAAAATTCGGTGTTCACAGTTGTCCTTTTTTGCACATTACTAAAAATCAGTAATAAGGCAAAGATAAGACAACGATTTTGTTCGAAAGTAAATCGTAGATTTTTTTTTAACACAAAACAATTGGGATGACACCGCAAGTTGAAAAATAATGAATCGATCGAGATAACACTGCGAATCGAATTTATGCCCGACTGCCTGCTGACCTATTTCCCTTAACAGCCTTGAACCGACTCAACTGAACCGCACGTCAAATCGCCATTCAACAGGCTCAACCGAACCACTTGTCGAACCGTCCCTATTTCTAGCCTAGCCGAATCGTCGTTGACTGAACCATTGACCGATCCTGTTCAGGTAAAATTTTTTTTTCAAAATTTTTTTTATTTTTTATTTTTATATATTATTTATTAATATCACTTTTAACATTATTATTATTTTTGTTATTTATGTTGCTTTAAAAGTTTTAGAGTTTATTAAGATAAACACTTTTTGTTTTGTAGTAATAATTAACAATAATAATAATTAATTGATAATAACAATAATTAAATTCAAATGATTTTAAAACTTTTAAATTCCTATTAGTATTTTTCTTAATAACCCAAGTATTAAATAAAATAATAATAGAAATAATAAAAAAACTTTTCTCTGCCTAGATGTTGAAGGGAATATAATCTTACTTTAAATAATGTTAATTCCACCTAGATGTTGGGGAATTATTATTATAAAATATATTGAATAAATTAATAATATTATTAATAATAAATTTTCATAAAAAAGGAATTTTTTAAATTAATTTTCAAAAATCATAAAAAATCGAACTTGCTTCGAAAGTTAGCTTAGATGTTGAGGATTTTTAGAGATGTTCGCGCTTTCTTAAACTCTAAAATTCGAAACCCTAAAACCTCAAATCCTAAAATCTAGAACCTTAAAATTCAAATTTTTGAAAGTTCTAAATTTAGTACACAATCCCTAATCATTACCTAAAAATCATATAGGCCTTAAAATCCCGACCAAACCTATACCCTAAGTTATTTTGAAATTTTAAGGATATTTGTGAAAATCTCATATGAAATGATTTGTTCTCGAATGTTACCTAGATGATGGGGTATTTAGGAAACTTTATTTCATTAAGTTTTTTTATACAAATTCTTAATTCACATTAATAATGAGATTATTAAATAAAGAGTATAATAATAAATTGAGATCTTAAATATAAACAGTCACATCTAAGCTTTACCTAGATGTTGGAGAGTCGAGATGGTCTCATTATATTCAAGAACCCTACTCTAACTTTATATGTCATTACTTTGTGTAACATCCACTAACATACATACATCATCATGTTATTCATGCTGCATTTCTCTGTCTTTAATTTTTATTTGTTGCCTGACAATACCACAAT